AGCCAATTATAATAAATGAAAATCATTACTTTAAAAGGATAATTACATACATAGCAATCAAAACATTGTTATTTACAAAATCTAGCACCCAAGTGATATTTTTGAACTACCGAACCAATGTATTTACAACTGGAGAATCTCTTCTTTCATTGAAGCCACCTGTCTGGGAGAAGCTTCCTAGTTTGACTGTGAGGAGCTTGGGGAACTAAGAACTGGATCATGGGAGAGCTCGGCTTCGAAGGCTGTGTCTTTCGCTCCAAGGCCATAAACCCTTAAGTGGTGTAGAAGTTGACACGCCAGCTCCAGTGGCATGCTAGCGGAAGGTGGGGGAGTAGGGGCATAAGCAATAAGTGACACAAGAGACAGAGTAGCATCGGGTGCAAAAGCAGGAGCCATAGGAGGGGTGGTAGCAGCAAGTGCAGGAGGAGGTTTAAGAAGTAAAGTTTAGGTGGTAGTTATGTAAATACAAGGGAATTTGGTGGTATGCACATAAATGTCCCAAAATAATATTTTTTTATATTTATTGATTATCTTATAAGGATCATTAGGATTTTTTACTCGATGATAAAAAGTCTGACGTTGAAGTTTTTTTTTTTTTTTTTTACTCGATAATTCGCAATCAAACTCTAAGATCTCGCTCTATACTCAACCAAATTGCATGGGATTTAATCATATAGTTTCATCAAAGTGAGACGAACCTATCTATATCTTTAAGTAGGCATGCATTGTTCATTTTCTTCCTAAAAGACCAAACTGAGAGCCATTTTAGGGAATTGAGCCATTACCTTATCCCAGGAGATGAGGCCTCGATTGGGCTTGACAAAGATGATCACTTTGATGTCACAAAGCTTCCCCTTGCTTCAATTCGCTCTGAAATTAGCCCTAGTTATGAACTAGATCAAATGGTGGCTCGAGTTGATGTTAAAGTAGGTTAGGGAACGCGGGAAGCTCGGATTTTGATTGGGGGTAAGGTTTTAAAGCCTTGTGAAGCTAATGGGAGAGTTAGATTGGGGTTTTGATGAAGTTGATGTCAAGGCCGAAAAATACTCGGGATTTCAATGGTGAAATTAGGGTTGTGTGGTAGTGGAGTGGCCTGAGGATTGTGGGATGAGCCGCTCTGGTATGTGGAAGTGTTTTTTGTGTTAAGAGCAAGGGGTTCAAGTGGTTGGCTAGGAAGTTGAGTGCGTGTGTGGAGCTCTCGAGTTACCCTCCTTAAATAGTCGAGGGAGGCCATGGGAGGAGCTCTAGTGTACATGGGAGAGTCTGGCGGTTCCTCAAAGGATGTGCAGAGGAATGAGGATGAGCTAGCAGAGGTAAAGGTGCTTTCTCCATTTTTAAAGTTTTGACCATGGAGCTCCAACGAAGAAGAAGATGGCATGCCCAAGGTGTGAGAGGATAGGGGGAGCTTTTGGTATGGTGGCTGGGCTCAGAAATGGTTTGGCTTGACCCACTCATGAAGTGATTTGGGTGGGTTGGACCTGGGTGCCATGTGGTAGTCCCCCTTGGTTAAAGGTACATGCTTTGTCTTTTAGTGTTTGGATTAGGTCAAATTAGTTTATTTTATTCTTTTGTCACCCATGTGTCATGGTGGGTCATCAAGGTCAAGTAGTGTGCTCTCAAGTCATGGGGTTTGAGCTATGCCCTCTCATGATGGCTTGGGCTTTTGTGGTAAACTTAGCTTAAATGTCTTTAGATTTAGCCCAAAAGATTAGGCTTAATGGGCCCTTTTAATTAGCCTAATTAAATAATTAGGTTAGTTATGAAGGTTGCCTCCCTAATGCAACTTTGATTCCTAAATGGTTTTAGGTCTTAATCACCTTGAATCAAGTAAAGTTTTATTTTGATGAGCTCAATTGTTCCATAATTGACTCAAGTTGATTTGGGCTCAATTGAATTTTGATGACCCTTGGTGATTTCAATTTCTTAGGATTGAGTTGATGTGTTTGGAGCTCGCGTCAATTTCACGGTTAATTGGTGAAAGCTTTAGGTGAGACCAAGGATTGACTTTGGTGAATTACTCCTTTTAAATTTTGGTGTCATGGGATTTCTAGGGCCTTTTAGGGTAATGTGGTAAGAACCCCACATTGGCCTAGGCCAAGCCTCCTGTCTGATGGGCTCTGCAAGGTCAATGAGAATCCCATAGATATTTAATAGGTCCTTAGAGGAATTCCTAGGATTTTGAGTTCCATGGACAACCTAGGGCATCTTCCACCTATAAAAAGTTAACTTGGGTTTCCATTGGGCTAGACCCTCAATCATCTCAACTAAGGGTTGAGGATTTGGGCTTCACCTCAGGAAACCCTAAGTGAGTGTAGGATTAGTTAGAAGTCCAATATGGATAAGTTTCATCTCTAGTCATCAAAGAAGATCACTAGGAAACCCTAAGGCTAAATCCTAGATTTCTACAAAGAGATAGGAGGCCCTCACAAAAGTGAGGTCAACACTTGATAAGTACTTTTAGAAAAGTTTTTCAAGGGACTTAAGTTTTACAACTCAAAAGACACTTCAGCTCATACGCGAGGATCATTGTAGCATAATAAAGTAACTACTCCCTTCACTTTATAGAGGATTCCCACAAAAAAAAAATGATAGTAATTCTTGAAGCTAAATCAAATAAAAATTAGGCATTAAGAAAAAAGTTTAAGATTGTTATTAAAACATCGACTAGACTGGAGATCAAATACCATGCAATCTAATTGAAAAGAATTTACTTTCACAGAATTTTAATAATTCTATGAAGCAAATGGAAAATTTGACCTCTTACAGTTCTAAGATTCCTTCAAAAAAATCGAGAAGCAAAAATGAAGATTAGAACCACACTTGATATGGCAAGGACAATACTTAAAAGTAAGAGGCTATCCAAGGAGTTGAGTGGAAGCATTGCATGATCAGTTAAATTGACCAATGAATCACTAATAAAAAGTATGAGGGAAAAGACACCATAAGAATCAGGGAGCAAAAGAAAGTCTAACATCTATCGTCTTAAGAGTTTCTGAAGTTTAGCTGAACTGTATGTACCCAGCAATACAAGAAGCTAAATGACAAGAGCAAGAAGTTTATTTTCATCAGTTATGAAGCCTACAGAAAAGCTACTCATAATAAAATCCAAATATTTGAAAGAAAATCATAAATCAAGATGTCAAATATGATGATGAAAGAGAATGGGGATCAGAAACATGTGATGAGAATTACAATTTTTTCTCATAATTTAAAGAATTGAACTTGAAGCAAACAAGGATGAAACAAGTAAGAGAAAAATTTATAACCCCAACGAAAACATCAATTATAACAAATCAAAGAAACTCAGATTCACTGTGTTAAATGAGAGTTCAAGTGATAGAGTGCCATATTTTACAAGTTTACAAGATACGAGTAGTTGAGAATCAAATAATCATACTCTCTTTCATCTCTTTAACGAAAAGAGCTTATAGATTTTCAAGAAGTTATACAAAATAAGATGCGAGATAACACTTTGGAAGAAGAAATCAAAACAATCCATAAAACTAACGCGAATGGGTGTATTAATCAAAGAAGAATGTCAAAGTATAAGTTGAAAGATAAAACACAAGATTAGTTGAAAAAGGTTTCAATGATAGAGTTAGCATAAGCATAGAGCTTTTATCATTGATAAGGTCGACGCTCACAATCACAACGAACAACAATGCCCAATATCGCTAATAGAGACAACTTCCACTTCGTCAATAATACTAACACTAATCATTGTCAATAATGTCGGATGCTAGTCATCACTATCAAGACCAACACGTCACAGTGCGAAAGCTGATATATGTCATTGCCAACAAGTTCAACTTCCACTGTCATCAAAGAGGAAGATGTCTACCAATGACAAAAAAATTGATGTCCATCATTGCTGATAAAGCTAACAACCTACGTACATTGTCACGAAGATAGACACCAACAATTGCTAACAATGTTGAGCCTATCATTACCCTCAAAGCAGATGCCTCATATCACCATATTACCGAGGCCCAATGTCAGCATAAGCCTTATGCTCGCCATCACTATTAAAGATGTCTTCCTTAATTGTTGGTATTTACTACTAAAAGAACAATCGAACAAGTCACGGATCATCTCTTGATGAAAATTTTGATGCCTCATTGCTCTTCCTACTTCCAACATAAAAATCATATTTTATTATCCAAATCTACTATATAGATTAATATCTTCTCCAGTTACCAAAAGCACATAATTTCTAATAAATAATTCTAATTAATTGAATCATTTCATCAGGAAGAAGCCCCCACAGTTTTCCTATCATTTTTCTATATAAAAATCTCATATGTAATATGAGATGCTCTTATATGTGTATGAGATTATCATTTAATACTAAGACGATAAACTCTCGCGATATACCTTTGAAAGTTCCAGCATGCAACTAATATATTCAAATTCTTTCGTAGTCTGCCAAAGACGTTATGTTAAGAAAGTAGGAGTATTGGATGATGATTTATGGTGCCATCATTAAAGTTTGCAGATAGACTCAAGATCAATCCAATTGCATATCAAATCATAAAATAAATAAAGACAGAAAAAAAAAACACAAACTTACAGAAAGGCTGTTGTTACTCTATGCGCGAATCATATAAATCCTCAACACGTCTCCCCAATGGCAGTCCGTTTCCTTGATTTCCACCGCCTTTATATCAGCTTAAACTGCATAAAAAAATTCTAACCAAGCAATTTCTGAACCCTGTTATTCAAGCAATCAGGATGCCATAAATAATAGGGGCATTTACATAAATACCACACAATTCTTATATAGTTACATATCCAACAGCTAAACTTCAATATTTACATGCATACCACACAAATATTTAACATCACATAAAAAATACCACAATTACTAACTTTTCGTGCATAGTTTTATAACACCTAAGTGTTATTAAGTAAATATTAAACACTAGGTGTTAGATATGTATATACATAAGAATTGAATGGTTCGTATGTAAATTACCCTAAATATTAACTACAACCAAAAAAGTTCAAGAAAAAAAAATAAAAACAGAATTATATATTAAAAGATTAACATTTACAAATGACATGAAATATTTCTGTTCATCATAAGAGTAAGCTAAGAAAAAAAAAAAAGCCCAATAAACACTCTCTACCTCTGATCAGGGATATCTGAGAGTTTAATCAGTTTAGGAAGATGAATCACTTTCGTCTATATTCATCTTTAATGAGTTGTTGACGCAGAAGGGAAAAAGGTTTATAGCAATCCAAGAGACTTCAACTGTTGTGCATGCTCAGGAGGAATAGGTGGTGGAGACCAATTCCCATCTTCCATCTCACTATCAACATCCTCCACCACATATTCCTGCAATTGATTACACATATTCAGTAACTCCTAGTTTATATATATAGAAAGAGAGAGAGGGAGGGAGGGAGAGGGAGGGAGACAGAGAGAGAGGGGGATTACTTTGGCACTTAACTCACAGATAGAAAAGTGAGGTATAGCTTAATCTATGAAACTTACTTTGGTGAGCATTCTTTTAGCAAGAATGTGGTAATGCCGCTGCCAAATTCTCTGACCAACCATGGTGGCAACAAGAACGCTGTAGAATATGCCGACAATGGTGAAGAGGCCCAGCACAATGAGTCCCATAATAAGAAGAAGAGGAAGCCCGGCTTCACCGGCACCACCTAAACAGCCGCATTCTCCAGCTGCACTAGCACAACTCTCAAAGCATGTGGTACAATCAGTCCACATGCAAAGTGTGCCGGGTAGATGGCAATCTGCGCACATTCTGAAAGATGGAGAAAGTTCAAAATACTGGGACATATCAACGCATTCTCATGCTTTTATCAACACTGGCAAAGGAAATTTACATACATACCACACAATTCTTGTACATTTACATATCTAGCACCTAGATTTTGAAATTTACATATTTAGCACAACATTCTTAAGTATTTACCCATCTCGCAACTAAACTTTCATATTTACATACATAGCACTTCGTGCTTTAAACCTATGCATGAAAATGTATATTTCACTTTAAAAAAGTGATAATAGTATTATTTTTTCCATGATATTAAAGATTTGAGTGCTATGTTTGTAAATATTAAAGTTTAGTTGTGACATGTAAATAGATAAGAATTGTGTGCTATGCATGTAAATGCCCCCATTTTTACATTTATAACAAATTGATATTAAAAAACCTATCCATGAAAATGTGTAATTCAATTCTAAAAAGTAAATGATAGTGGTATTTTTGATGTGATGTCAAATATTCAAGTGTTATGTATGTAAATACAAAAGTTTAGGTGTTAGATATGTAAATATATAAGATTTGTGTGACATGTATATAATGCCCCTTAAATAAATTCAAGATATGCAAATTCAATTTTTGAGTGACCTCAAAAAAAACAATATGTTAAGCAAGTAACTAATTGCATTTTACAAAATTAAAAATCACAATATTTATAGCTGTAATTAGAATTTCTAATTTACCAAGCACGCAAACACCGGCACCGAGCCTTTCACTTTTGCATCTCCTTTGTAATTTCCTCGTCTCTATGAAATATCAATCAACTTTAACAAGCTTGATTATGGCGTGTCGTAGAAGATTCTAAGCTAAACCTATTGCAGCCTTGTTAACATAAGAAAATTTCAAGGACAAACTAACTGGCTTCTTTAATTCCTCAAGGAACCCATAGTGACCATAAAAACTAACAAATCTCATTTGTCGGCCCTATATTATGCTTCCACACTAGTTTGAGCTACTAAAGGCCCTTCTGGCATCATTTTTATTTCTTTTTTTTCATATTTATTTTTTTTCTTTTGCTTTCGAAAATATATTTAGTTGGTATAATGTTTATATGTTCTTATTTTTTTTAGTTTTTAAAAAAATTAACTTGTTTTTAAAATCAACTGAAAACACTTGAAAGATGTTTTGAATGTTTTTAAAAACAACTATTTCAACCAAAAATGTTTTAATTCAAATAAAAACATAATAAAATAAAATAAAAATAAAATATGAAAAACAAAAGCCAAAAGTGATCCCAAACTACCCCTGAATTATGTTTCTTGCCCCAACAATACCTGGTTCTTAACATCCTATCTTTGGTCAGAAGTGTAGAACCTTGCTAGCTCGGTATAAGCCTTAAACTCTCTATGCATGTTTTTTCTTGGAAGTATAACCCCCTTCTGAAACAACATTTTAGGTGTCATTGAATTCAATATTAGCCACGAAGTCTTCTTTCTTAGGAAAGTGCATAAATTATCTTATTATGCTCAAGCAAAGGTTTTTTTTTTTTTTCCGAGGAGGGTGAACAGTCAAACCTGGCACCTTGAGATTCCTCACTTCATTACCAATTAACATGCTATCCATTTGAGCACTACGCTCAGATAATGTTCATATCAGGCAGTATTTGAGATAAATAAATCAGCCTTTTCGCTAACCACTGATACCATGTGGTATCTATAGGCTCGCCTTCTTGTTTTCTCTGTTGTGAATTTAGATCGATTGGCATATTAAAAAGTCTACATATCCACTATTTCAATTTATTGAGAAAATCTAAAGACACAAGTCATCATAATCCCCTTCTTTGATCTTGCAATTCGATACTCCAATAAAATACTATCCCCGAATATTTGATCTCAAATTCAGTGGCCAAACTTTTCCTTAAACGATTCATCTAAGCCAAATCATTTCTTACTAAGATAAATCTATATGAACTGTCAATACAATTATTTTAACTCATTTTTAACTGCTTTATGAGCATATTATGATCAATATGGGTTTGATTTTAGCTTGTTGCTTCACAGAAAGGGTGAATTTATCAAAGAATACCTTGATAATTTGTTCAAAATCATAAAAAGTTTTTTGAAACTGAAATAATTTCTGGCCAATTTTTTCTTCAAACCTTCGAGAAGGATCCATATAAATTTCTTCTAAGACTCCATTGTGGAAGAAATTCTTGACATTAAGTTGTTGAAGTGGCCAGTCAACCTTAACTACATAAAACCATCTATAGTAAAATTGCCCAAGCTTTCTTTTCATATTTGCATCTCCTCTTCTTTGCCCTAAACCATAGTTTATAAAGGGCCTTGTTGAGCTTTGAGCATTTAAAACATTTTGTTCTTATAATAAGAACGGTTTCTATATGATTTTTAAAATCAAACTTGCTTCGGGTTGAACTAAAAATAAATTTTGTTGGGTTGAATGAAATCATTTTCAAACAAACCAAAACTATCCAAAAGAATCCGAAAAATATTGTGGTTGAAAAAAACTCAGATTTTCTTTTTGCAACAAATCTAAAAAAGGTAGATTGTTATTGAAGTTAGCCTCTTGAAAAAATCAATCTTCTTGATATCTCTCTCCCTAATGATGAGATGCATAAGAAAAACACTTTTTCAAATATGTATATATATAATTTGTGTGTGTGCGAGTTTTTAAGGATGGAAATATTTATACCTATTTTTTTTGTCAGTGCATAACTGTCCGCACTAAAAAGTTGAGGAGTTGCCCGTTGGAAACTGTCGGTCACTGGAATCGAAATCTCGTCGCCTGCTTCGAAATGACGTTTAATTTACATATAAATTTAAGTTTAGAAAAATATAAAATCAAATTGACCCAATATTTTTCACAGTTTAAATGAAAGAGTATTGTACCTCAAACCCTGTATCCATCCCGAACGAAACACAGGACTTGAGGGTAAAACTCGATCAAATAAACTAAGAAATATATGACGCTTGTTTGGTCTGCGAAACCATTTTATTTGCCGACAAGTTCCCTTATTTAATATGAAGAATTAAATAGAATTTATATTAAGTTGGGTTCGGAAAAACTTCCTATAAGGGTAAGCCCCTATAGTTAATTATATCTTAAATGACGGAAGTCACCTAAGAAAACTCTTGATAAAAATCAGGAAATATTATCTTCAGATAAGTCAAAAGGATAGGACTTTTCAATGAGATCGGACAAAGAGGTGTGAAATAAGATTGACTCAAATTTGAATCATTTATTATAGAATCCAAAAGAAGAAGAACTAGGGGATGTCACAGATCCGAAGGAAAACCTCGATGGTTTCTCAGTCTATTCATCTTGCCAATTTTATTTAATTAAGACCTATATTTGTGTGAAATGATCACACGAATAGCCTGAAAGATGTGAGGATTTAGGTCAAAACGAACGACAACCTCAGGATCTTAAAACAAGTTAGGGGTCGCTCGGCCCGTCTCTCGCCCGTCTCGTTAAACTCCCGCGCTCTTCTCGCTTGTCCCGCTTGTCCCGCTCGCCCGACCGTAGCGCAGGCTCCCCACTCCTTATCACTGCTGCGGATCCTACCTCTGCAAACGGCTCCCGAAAACGAACGGATCAAACGC